CAACCATTACCACCAGTCAATGGTATTTGTGATGCATTTTTGAATGTTCAGTTGACTGAGTTTCATCTTTAATGAATAAAGTATACTCCTCCTCCTCCTCCTCCTCCTCCTCCTCATCATCATCATCATAACAGTTCCTAGGTCCTTGGTTAGGACTCGAGATGTTGAGCTACCAACCAGCCCCAAAGGTGGTGAATCTCACCAAAGATTAACCACAAGCCACAGCCACCATCACCATCACCACAAACCACCTGTATATTCCTCCTTCAACCTGGGCTCTCTAGTTTTGTGGGATGATGGATCCTTGGCCGACTTGGAATTCTGGGAATTATAGTCTTATCGGTCCTGAAAAATTCCAGGTTGGAGAAGACTTCCAACTCTTCCTAGAATTCTCCAACCTGGTGGACTTCAACTCCCAGAATTCCAGCAAATTATAATTATGCAAAGCGAGAACAACTAAAACAGAGGGCCAAAAAATCAAACAAATAAACAAACAGGAGCTTTGTGTGATTTCGATCTTTAAAATTCACTCTGTTTTTGGCTTGTTTGGTAAACTACGGTTCAAATAACTCAAGAGAATCTGATGCACGAACGAAGCTGTTCATTTGTGAAGCTGGGGTTTGTTTTGTGTTTTCTATTCAGATCCTTTTGTGAAAGTCCAGCTGGTTCATGGGCTAAAACTGGCAAAGACAAAGAAGACTTCTTGCATGAAGGCCACCATTGATCCCTTCTACAACGAGTCCTTCAGCTTCAAGGTTGCCCAAGAAGAACTGGAAAACACTAGTCTGGTTTTCACAGGTATGTGTCTTTCTAGTGAATCTTAGAATAACAGAGTTAGAAGGGACCTTGGAGGTCTTCTAGTCCAACCCCCTGCTTAGGTAGAAAACTCTATACCACTTCAGACAAATGGTTATCCAACATCTTCTTAAAAACGTCCAGTGTTGGAGCATTCACAACTTCTGGAGATAAGCTGTTCCACTGATTCATTGTTCTCACTGTCAGGAAATTTTTCCTTAGTTCTAAGTCAGTGGTTCCCAAACTTGGCAACTTTAAGACTTGTGGACTTCAACTCCCAGAATTCTCCAGCCAGCTTGAGCTGGCTGGAGAATTCTGGGAGTTGAAGTCCACAAGTCTTAAAGTTGCCAAGTTTGGGAACCACTGTTCTAAGTTGATTCTCTCCTTGATTAGTTTCCATTCATTGCTTCTTGTCCTGCCCTCAGGTGCTTTGGAGGATAGCTTGACCTTCTATTCTTGGTGGTTGACCCTGAGATATTGGAAGACTGCGATCATGCCCCCCACTCCCCGAGTCCTTCTTTTCGTCAAACTAGACATACCCAAGTCTTGCAACTGTTCTTTATATGTTTTAGCCAGGGGTGAAATCCAGCAGGTTCTGGAGACGCGGTAGCGGAAATTTTGGGTAGTTCAGAGAACCGGCAAATGCCACATCTGGTTGGCCTCAGAGTAGAGTGGGAATCAGTGGTGGGTTTCAAAAATTTTTGGAACCTCTTCTGTAGGTGTGGCCTGCTTTCCGGGTCCACTGGTGGAACCTCTTCTAACNTCTAGGAATTCTACTATCTATCAGCTGTTTGATCTCTATCATCGATCTATCAGCTGTCTGTCTCTGTCTGTCATCTATATCTCCTCTATCATTCACCAATTACCTACCTATCTATATATGTCTCTCTAATCTATTCTTTCATATATCATCTGTTTGTCTTATATGTCTGGTCTGTGTCTATCTCTGTCTGTCTGTCTAATCTATTCTTTCATCTATTTGTCTTATATATCTGTATCTGTCTATGCCTATCATCTATTCCCTCTCTTTCTTTCTGTCTCTGTCTCTCTCCCTCTGTGTTTCTCTGTTTCTCTCTGTGTGTGTCTGTCTGTCTGTCTCTCTCCCTCCCTCCCTCCCTATCTACCAACATAAAAATCTATCAATCATTTATGCTTTCATCTATCTCTATTTGTCCTCTCCCCCCCCCCTCTCTCTGTCTCTGCCCCCCACCTACCTTCCGTACCTAACTGCCTACCTTATCAACATCTTACAAACTGGATTGAGAGATGGAGAGCAAATGACTTAGCTGTTGATTCTTCCGGCTCTCTCACTTCTCCAGGACTTCACCCAGAAGGGGTGCCTTCTGTCAGGCACAGAACCTTCTGCCCCCCCCCCCCTTTCCAGGCTTCCACATCCCCCAGTGTGCCTTGTTCTCGGGGCGGAGATGGTACAGTGGAGTTCTCCTTGACTTCAGCCTTCAGCCCCCATCTTATTTCCTGCGTGTTTGTTTTCCCTCTAAAGAGAGCAAGGATTTCATTTTCTCTCTCCCACAAGGTCTGATTGAAAGCAAACAGCGCATGTTGACCTTTGATGCTCAACAATCCTCTCCTTTGTCGCTTGAAAAATTGAAGTAATGGGCCTTCTTCCCCGTCCAGGTTTCTCAGAAGATGCTTCTCTTTCTGAGAACAGATCTAGGCTGTTTCTTGTTTTTCCTCCTTCCTTCAGAAAAAAGGACCCAGAGATGGTATTCAGCCGGATCGGACCGGTTCAACTGAACCGATAGGGGGCAAAAGACCAGTGGACTCACCCGCTACAAAACGTCCTATGTAGCAGTGGTGGGTTTCAAAAAAATTTCGAACCTACTCTGTGGGTGTAGCCTCCTTTGTGGGAGTGGCTTGCTGGCCATGTGACCTAGTGGGAGTGGCTTGCAGGCCATGTGACCTAGTGGGAGTGGCTTGCTGGCCATGTGACCTAGTGGGAGTGGCTTGCCGGCCATGTGTTCATGTGTTTTCTCTCTCTGTCTCTGTCTCTGTCTCTCTCTCTCTCCCCCCCCCTTTTGTCTCTCTGTCCCTTTTTC